TATATATATATATAGATATATATATATATATATATATATATATAGATTTTTTATTTTTATTTTTTAGATTTATTTTTTAGATTTATAGCTCTAGAATTAAGGATTTCCCCAACTCTCTCCCTTGTCTGTTATTTGTTACCATATCTGCCACTAAATACACCTCAAGAAGCAGTTTTGTTTTCAGCCTATTCACTCAATTTACCTATTTAGAAGGCCTGATAAGATGGTGTGGAAATATCAGTGGCTCCACTCATGACTCAGCATGTGGAAGATGATCCGGCCCCTCTCGACCTCACCCGCTGAGCAGGTAATTTGAGATGATGTGTCTTGAGTGGGTGTAATATGTAGAGTGGCTTGTTATATCAGCTAAAAGCTCCCGGCTTCTCCTCGGCCATCTATTATTTACGGCCCTGGAGGGCTGGCACTGTATTACTTCCTGCCCGGGTTCCCTTTAAGGAGCCCATCAGGCGGCTGTCATTCCTCTGCAGCGTTACAAAGCCTTAATCTCGGGCAGATTAGTATGAAACATGGCCATAACATTTAGTCTGCAGAAATGTCATGTTCGTTTTAATGTGTCTTTACCCTGAGATGGCTGCATGTGAACACTGGATGGTGCTCTTGCATCACGCAGAACCTGCCGTGTGGCCTTGAGTAAGAAATACATTTCCTTTGCTGCTATTTTCTGCAAGTGACGGTTCTTTACACAAGACGTTTCACTGTAACCGCTGCCACTTGTTATTAGCATTTGTACGTTTCAGCAGAAGCTGGCATGTTGATGATAAAACAACGGTTTTGGGAGTGGTCTTCCCCCCCCTCCGCTCAGTCCGTGTGTGTGCATAAATCTTTTCATCCTCCAGATGGCACTGCTCTCTTTGTGAATGAAGATTCTGGTACTCTTCAATGTGACTCTCATCACCCATCCAAAACCCTCCACTGGGCCCCACCCAAAATCCTGTTCGGGTAATACAGAGCAGGACAAAAACAAACACATTTTAAGGTGAAGCTTCACTGTGTTTCTTCACTTTTAAATCAGGCTTTAATTTGGGCTCGACACCTACTTACGTGAGGCATTGTGCCCCCTGAATGCTCATCCTTAAATATTTAGATGGATTTGGGGGATGCAGTGATGTCAGTGAGTCAGTCAGTCGTGTAATGATGGTATCGGGGCTGTTTTAGCAGAAGAATGGGAGATCTTTGTTTGAATGGGTTTAGGAGGAAGCTTCCCTGAGGGAGGTGGTGCTCAGACCAACGACAGTGAGTCAGTACACCCCCCCCCCTTCATGATTCCCTAACACATCCTAGGAAGGAGTCAGAGGACTCTCAAGGGCAGGGTGGGGAGCCTTCTGAGCCAGATGTTCAGAGGATAAAAGTGGTAGATTTGGAGTTCCTAAAAACACCATGGACTGCTTTTTGCAGCTCTTTTAGGTGCATCACAAGATATCTCAGTCTTCATTGGGACTAGAGCAGCGTCTTCACTCGAGATGATCGTATAAAGGCCCCTGTGGTGTCAGAGGAAAAGTCTACTCGCTGTCTTTTTCTATTTCCCACATTTTGAATCCATTGATCTGAAATTAACATCAGTCCCGGGCTGTGTGTGTGTTTCGATGGTATAAACTGTCGTATCGTAAAGCTGGCGTTTTTTTTTTTTTTTTAGCTGACTCTTGTGTATGTGCCTGTTGCCATGGTTTCCCACTTTTTCATCAGGTGCCAATCCAAAGCGAGGGGCTAAGCTCGAGGATGAGGCGCTCCCCACTTTCATCCTCCTCCTGGACAAACTACCGGGTTCATGCGTGTTCATTGGTGCTGATTGGGTTCGTCGCGGAGGGAAAATATTTCTGGTGGAAGATGAGACGGCTGATGCAGGATGTCACCTCATGCATCGCCGTCGGTTGTAATGATTCAATCGTGCTGTAGAAGTTTGTTTTGCTAGAATCTGGGTGAAGGGGGGGGGCATTAGCTGATGTTTGCAACAATATGGAGGCGTGGACACAAGGTAATCGAGTTCACCCCCGTAAACAAACAAATGGTAGACGCCCCCTTCTTTCCTCACCATGTGCCCCTTAAGCCATTTTTCGTCAGCTGGGGTAGGATTGGCGGGAGATAGTTGGGGGGGATCAGGGGAACGCATGCCAGCCCCATTTGGGAAGTGCTCCCCCATTTTCTGCCTGTCGAATCGGGCCAGTGTCAGCGAGCTCCGGCGGGTCCAGGTCTGGCCGAGTGGGCTAATGCGATGTGGCGTGTCACCCGGGGAATGTAGGTCAAGTTTAAAGCTCTGCTGCAGTGTGACGCCTCTCAGTCCCTACCCTTCACACACACACACACACACACACACACACACGCAAGCACGCAATAACACTCAGCAAACGTCCTCACCTACATTACTATTTCTTTTCATTTAGACAAAATGAGATATGCATTTTCCTTTCTAGACCCACATAGTCTCAGACATAAACACACATACACCCTGCTGACTCTCCCCCATCCCTCCCCTCCCCCCCTCCCCCCACCGTCTCCACACCCCAGGCAAGCTCTGTCTCAGCCTCTCCACGGTGGAGAGCATGTGACGCTCCGGTGTCTGCGCTCGGTTGGGGAGGGGAGGGCGTTGTTTTTCCATTTCATAGTAAAGCAGCAGGGCACGTGGATCCTCATGCTGCAGCCGCGTAGTGGAATGTCAGCACTATCCCTCTCTTACATTAGTAAGCCATCAGCCCTCGAGCTGGTTTTTTTTTTTTTCTTTTTCTTTGCAGGACGTTGCCGCAGTGCTGGGTTTCAGCTGTGCCCTGCTTCTATGTGTGCTTATTAAAGGGCAGGCCCAGAGCTGGGAGATGTAAAAGGCAGTGCCATCCAGAGGTCAGGCTGCTGCATGGGCGTGGCACTGTTTTGGTGTCTTCACCAAAACAGGCTTCAGCCTCTTTGCGTCATCTGCAATCTGCAAATATTTGGGATGTTGATTTTAACTATAAATCCAAGATTTTGTAGCATTATTTATAGCAAAGTGACAAAATGTATCATCATATTCAGCTGCAATTAAAATGTAATACTTTCTTCATTATCAGCATTTATTTTTCCGGCATTTTTTATATTTAAATAATGATATTAATGTGAATTTGCTGAGCTGCAGAAAACTCAATCAAATCACATTAAATCACTGAGTGCTCGGTAGTGGAATTTAATATTTCTCAATCGTCTCCACTCGACTTCACCCCCCCCCCGACTAATCCGCTGTTTTTGGCGCATTACCTCATCTGTATTAATATATGCATGTACTTCCATGCCTACTACTACTGTACTCGTCCCTCACCCGGAGCTCGCCTCTCATTGGCTGCTGCAATGTTTTCAATGGCACCAAATTTTTTTTTGGACTCCATGGATACAGTGAGCTGTTGGGTAGATCGGCTCAGCCAATAGGAGAGCTGCGCGGGCTCCTGCTTGTCAGATTCTGCCGCTGGCCTTAGAAGCAGCCCTCGCAGCGAGCACGCGATGGCTCAGTGGGGGGGTTCAAAACAACAACAAGTCTGTCATCTGGCTCTCTGTGGTGCCCCGGACATGCCAGCACTACTTGGTAGTACTACAGCCACGAGGGAGGGGAGGGCTTCGATTCTTCAATCTCTCTCTGATGCAGTATCTGTGTACTATCAGCCAGCACTTCATCCTTTCACTTACTATGCTAAGCAAGCACTTATTCGGTCAGCAACTCAAATTGTCATCTTTAAAGGGAGGTTCTTAGGATGACATTTGACTGGAAGAGTAGGGTATAAAAAGCTGTAAAATTTACAAGTTTAATCGGCTCTTTTCTCTGGTGCACTTGAAGATGCTGTGATGGACTTTGAAATGCAGCTATGCAAATCCCCCGTCCTTAAAATGACCTCGTTTTAAGCGGCACAGGCGCGCTGGGCCTACGAGGCTGCCAGTGTCCGCGTTGAAGCGCTGCCAGCCTGGCCGGCCGGCCTCAGTCTGTGAGCAGCACAAAGGTGGCGGTAGAGGACCAGAGGAGGCCTGGCGATGGTGGGCAGTGCCCACATCATCCGGCAGGGTGGGGTCAGTGACAGCTCTCATCCCTTCTGAGGCCGGATCAGGTGCTGCTTTCCGACAGTGAGGCCACAGCGCTGGCACAGTCAGACATTCAGGTCACATTAGTGGAGTTAAAGTAGACGAGGCTGGACAAGGCAGGTGGGTCTTTGCAGGTGGTCACTGGGTCGAATGAGTGACTAACGGGAGTTACGGTGGCTTTCGAAGTAAAAAAACCCGAAAACTGTTGCGGGTTAAATTGTAAATTTTACTGACCAAATATTTAATTGACAAGATTTATTGATGGACCACATAAAGACAAAAATAGAGCTGCATTTAACGGTTATTTTTTATTATTTATTCATCTGCTTTTCAATTCATTCATTCGTCTCTCAGTTTATAAAATGTCCATCACAATTTCTGTCCGAGGAGGCATCTTTAAACGTCTTGTTTTGTCTGAACAGTCCCAAGATATCCACTTTACTGTCATATAAGATGAAGAAAAGCAGCAAATATTCACATTTAAGGGGGTGAAACCAGAGAATTTGGGGCCCATTTGCTTAGAAAATGACTTGATTAATCAAACCTTTTAAAATGGGTGCAGATTAATCTTTTGCCCTTTAATTCATTGTCTCAGCTCTAGTCACAAGTGTGTCTTACTTTCTTCAGTGTGTTGTGAGACAGAGTGAACCCGAGCAAGCATTAACATGTTAAAGGATTTGCTTGCCTCTCTAACATCTATTAATAGCCGCGCCGACCGAGTACCTGGTTACATGAAAGGTAGTTTTATAAATTCTTTGTGTACTCAAAGAGTTGTGTTGAAACTGGCCACGCTTCACTAATATTTCCTCTGTTAGTCAGGACATGACCCACTGTTTAAGATGCAAGACATGTCACCCCCCCCCACCCCCTGATGGTGCATCTCATGCATTTTAAAACCACTCCGTCCAACCCTCTGCTCGTGACTGCTGAGTGTGTACTTTGCTCTGTCTCAGCACCTCCCTGTCTCCCAGTATTACCTGTGTACACATGATTTAACCCGTCACCGCTCGCCTCTCACTCAGTCACTTTGGCTCTTCACCCGTCACTCATCTCGGATGACATCTGCCTGCCGAAGTTTAACCTCGGCGTTCATCCGCGTCGGCCCTCCTTCCGCCCCTCTCGGAGGACATCCTGTCCGTCTCTCCGCTCCGTCACCGATGGTTAAATTCGGTCTCCGTTGACGGAGCCTGCCGCTGTTTTCTCTGCAAACCACCACAGATCTCTGACTTTGTCATATGTCTGTTGATCGGCGCTCTGCTCTCTAGGAAGTGAGAGGACCACACCGGAGCAGTAGAGCTGAGGCTGCCACCTCTCGTCGCTCACATCACAGCTGAGGTGTACGCCGAGTACAGATGTGCCTCAGCGGGGAAGCTGTGGACGTGACAGTAAAGTCACAGCATGACTGCCGAATAGAATCATCACCAATCATCCTCTTCTTTAACCTGCAAGCCCCCTAAAGCCACAGTCTCATTTACAACACCAGTGTAAACTATAGTGATAAAGCACTGTTGTTGGGCTAATTACGCAGCCATTATCAGCATGGGTCGACCTAAACGATAATGAAATTTAAAGTATTTTAAAAGTGTGAACGCTGGGGAGGGAGGAGTTACTTTGTTCATACAGCTGCTGTGTAGCGGAGGTTTGTTGGTTACTCATTTGTGGGTGAAAGTCCACAGGACTGCACAGTGTTGTTTCAAAGCAGTTCAGACTCTGCTTTGGTTCTTCTCCCTGCGTAATCTATCGATTAGTTAATCAACATAAAGTTAAGTGTTTGGATGACCGATGAATTGCATTTGTCCAGAAGAGGCAAACACTGGCTGGTTTCAGTCTCTAGTATAAAGATTTGTCAGATGAAATGATTGAAGACGCCACTTTGAGCTTGGACATTTCTTTTCTGTTATTGATTTATTGGTTGATTTGTTTTTTAGTTGATAGTTTTGTCTACAAATTGTGAAAATAAAGAAGAGCGCAACATGGCATTTCTTTATATTCTTTGTTTCAGCTGACCAACAGTCTCGGACAGCAGAATAGTAATTTCACTCACATTTGTCAAAGAAAAACAGCAAATTCTCACATTTGAAAGATAGAAAGTTGAGAATATTTTGGCATTTTTGCTTGAAAAAAAGAATTGGATGGGTTACTCAATTATCTAAATAATATCTGATTTCGTTGATATTTTTTATAATCAATAATGTTCGTCATAATTAATAATGGCAGTCGGACTCCTTTTCCTAGACTGAAATGTTTTCCAACATGCCTCATGGAATGCATATGTTTATTATATTCTTCAGACTTCTGTACAGACTCACTGTGCTCTTTCAATACATTTAAGTTGCTGTACCACATGTGCCGTATGTGTTTATTTTACTAAAGCATATTCAATATCGATGTTATGTTTCAGCTGCTACGACAAAGACCCTGCGTTGCAGTTTGTTATTTCAATGCACACAAGGTCGAATTCACAAACTACAGACTTCATAAACGGGTCCTCTTAACGTTTCTGCACGACAACTTCCCTTTACAACCGTTTAATTGGATGTGTCCTGTTGTGTTGTGTTACTTGCTTCACGTGTAGATCTGATTGTGTGTGTGATTTCCCTGCGGGGGTTTGTGAAATGGATTACTTTTGCATATAACTGCCTGTAAATGCTCATGATTTCTGGGAAGAAACTTAACAAAGCAGAAAGATGTATCTCAGCTTTTCTATTTTTGGGGGCATCTTGTGACATCTGGTTTGGCATTGGCACAGGAAACGCACATGGGGGGGGGGGGGGGCGCTGGTGTCTGTGAGCGGCGGGCACATCTGGGGCACCACTGGGTCCACACAGGCACCAGAGCAGTGGAGCGCAGCAGGAGCGAGGTGTCTCACCACCTGCTGCCTTTACTGCCGCATTCCTCCATTAACTGATCCGTCTCTCTCGTCCTCTGCAGGTATCGTAACATGGGGAACCTACTGAAAGTTTTGACTTGCACAGATCTGGAACAAGAGCCCAATTTTTTCCTGGATTTTGAAAGTGAGTCTTTTTCAAGTAATTGCTCCCTCCTCCTGATATCGATCACATGAATATCTTACCATAACATTATCAACTCTTAAGTCTTTTCACCCGCACTTATATTTTAACGCTATGTTCTTCCCAGCGGCAAGAGAATCGAATCTACCACTAGAGCTTCTGCACTTTCCATCCACCTGCCTCTTCCATGTTGGGATGTGTGCAGAATATCAATCAGGGCAGAGTTGCAGCAGAGCCCCCTCCTCAAATATAAAGCACTGAAGTTCAGCTGCTGCATAGCCTAAGGCCCCTCAACACGGCTTGATCCTGCACTGAAGTGTTCTCACACTTGGCAAACCCAGAGACTCAGTCATACCTTTTTGAGAAAACAATGCCTCAAATAGCTCGCGCTGTTTCTAGGTGATTTTTGTATAAAAACAACATCGCAATTAAAAAGCAACACTCAATATTGTAAAGTTTTCTCTAAATTTACCACAGTCTCAGCATTTTATTTGCATTTTCAGAATGCTGTTACACCCTGAAATCACACCTCAGGGAGGCTCACATCAAATATATAAATGATGATTTTTAAATGAACAATTAATGATAAATTACAATGCAAAATAATAAAGATACCACATGAAGTAAAAGGACTAGACTGCTGTCGATATGAGCTTTGCTTTAGATTCTTCTTCTGCAGGCCAGCAGGAGTTTACAGTCATCACACTTGGCAAGGTGTTCTTGCTTCAGGTGGTGGGAAAGGTTCATCGTGTTCTTCGTTGGCACATCTCTAACCAAAATATAAAATAAAAAAAAGTGAACCTTCTCTACACCCAGAGTTGTTGTGCAGAGAGAGAGCATAGCTCTTTTTTTCATTTGTCTTCTCTTGCTCCATTTTCTTCCTCTCAGCCGGGAAAGTGGGTGGCGTCAAAACTAAACGCTGGAAAGATTATTTAATTTTTGCATAATTAAAAGTTGCCTATTAGACATTCTATTATATCGGAGGCTTTGCAATAGTTCCTAGAGCTGCTTTTTGCTGTATTATTGAGCCCAGTGTGAATATGGATTTAGTTCCTGTCACATTCGCCCTGTTGTCCTTTTGCAGATGCCCAGCCCACAGACGCAGAGCGAGAAGTGTGGGAGCAGGTCGACGTGGTGCTGAAGGACGCTAAGGGGATCCTGGACGAGCTGCAGGCGTACAAAGGAGCGGGGCAGGAGATCAGAGAGGTACACCTGATGCAAATATCCACCTCCGACCGACGGGACACAGAGCTGCGGCACAGTTAGGACGGACCGCTGTGCAGAAAAGGCATTGAAGGGATGCTGCTTTAGGTCATGGGGAGATTTTAAGGGCCTTTATTTAGAGTTACTATTTTTATCAGTAATTTCTTCTTTTTCAGAGTTTCAGACATTTGTTTCCAACTTCTTTATCTGAAAAAGACGTCTCTTTTGAAAAGAGCACTCTCAAAAATGGACAGTTAAACAACAATACAGCAGAACCAAAGATGTCATTTGTTTTATTGCTCATCATAACTGGTGCCTACATTACCCACAATGCAACTCAACTGCAGACAATTCGGTCTGAGATTTAGGTGTGGTATGCTTGTAGCGGCTAATGTGGCCTTGAACCACTCGCCTCAAGCGATATGAGGTCTAAGAAACTCTCTAACTCCACACCCCCCAGATGTTTTTAAACTTCAATCTTGTAGTTTTCAAATTTCCCAGACTTTGTGTTGCTCCTTCCGGAGCCACAAAAGGTTTCATACAACTTTTTCCCACATTTTTGTGTTTGTATTTCCAGGCGATCCAGAATCCAAGCGATGAGGCGTTGCAGGAGCAGGCGTGGGCGGCCGTGGTTCCCCTGGTGGGGAGACTGAAGAAGTTCTATCAGTTCTCCCAGAGATTAGGTATGAGTCTGTCTCTTCTGCGCCTCAAGGGAACCTTTGTTATGTAGGACGGTTTCAAGTGGAACAAGCTCAGGTGTCCTGTGAGGGTTTTCCTCAAACGTCATGTGTGACGCGAGATCCAAATGTGCAATAACTGGAGCTGTCAACAGTTTTAGTGCAGTTTATCATTTTAAGCACAAAGTGCCAGACGTGAAACCACGAAGGACGAAAGCAGACGTCCTATATGTAGAAGGTCTTTTCAAAGTGGTGCCACACAGGCACAACCTCCATACATGACCTTAATTGTTTGCATGTGCATCTGCAATATTGACTGCTGAGCTGCAAAAGTCAACAGACATGCAACACACATACATAATGCACCCCATCCTTATATAAACATGCTTTGAAAACCCCCACAGTCGTGCATTTCTCAACATGCTGCTTGCGCTGCACTGTGCACTGACCTCTGTAGGAGGGGACTATAGGTTGTTTAATTAGCATGGATACAGGGGGGATGGGGTGAGTAGGCTTACTGCTCCCTGATCTTCTTATAACCCTAGGGCGGTGGGGGATGGAGGAGCAGAGCAGCCTGCCATGCCTTGACGCCCTCAACCCCGTAAACCCAGTGGCGGTGGAGAAGGTAGTCACTGGGAGCAGTGGGCGGCAGAAGCCCGGCGATGGCTGTTATGTAACGCCACCTTCAGCCTCGGCTGCTGCTCTATTTTGCTGCCTTGACTTTAGGCTTCGGGGGGCCATGATGGGCGTCCGCAGCCGGCTGACGGGCTTACATGCATGAAGCTGAGGGTCCTGGTGGGTCTGCAGAGCACCACTACCAAGCATGGAAGACGTTATGGAGGGAATATTATGCAATTGGCTTTGCATTTGAATTGAACAGACAGATTTATCCTGCTCCAACTACTAGTTTGCTGACAGAAAAGCATTCATTTTCTGGCTATGTTCCTCCCTCGAATCCAAGGTGAAATCCTAATATTGCGTATTTTGTCTAACCAATAGTAATAAACCCAAAATATTCACTTTACAGGAATATGAAACGGAGAAAAGCAGCAAAATGATCACATTTTAGAAGCTGAAACATGTCGACATTGCAAAATGACATCTTTGCATAACTAGTCGGTTATATAAGGGACAGTTTTCTCGCTCCATCTCTTTCTTGCATGGACAACATTGTTGAATGAACAATATACATTTTCTAGCTGCAGCCCTACAGTTGATGATCAAGATTAAAGTTGTTGTTTTTTCACTGTTATTGACTGAATCTGATCTGATTTAGAGTCAGTCTGGTCCGTCAGACATTGTCGACCAGACTAAAGTCCCGCCATGCTCTGACCCTCCCCTCTCGGCGAGCAAAGCGCCTACATGCCCGCATTCTGCTCGCCTGCTCTGCCGTGACCTGATGAGATCAGACATCTCGCCCCCGCCCCGCCCCTCGCCGACTTCCCGACATACTAGAGTGGCTTGTTTCTGAAGGGCTGAAAGCAGCTCCATTTTAACTTCTGTTTTGACTGGGACATAGAGGGGCGGGGGTTAAAAGAAACTGCATCACTAAGGCCATTTTTAATCAGCCGCTTCGCTGCAAACGCTGGCCCCAGCAGATGGGAGTCGTTACTGGATGGCAAACGTGCTCAATTTACTGCACTGCACTGCCAGCGATCTGTCCGTCTCCTACAAGTCCCCTCACGATTATCTCAAGTAGACCGCGCTCTGACTCTGCCCTTTACTAGGTTATGTTGACATGCTCATCGTCTTATGTAATCAACAAGAATTATAAAGTACAGTGTGGATAATTTGGTTCCACGCAGGCTCATTGCGTCAGATGTCGAGCTCGTCTGGGTTATGTCATTATCGAAGCCTCTCTACAGCGTCTAGACTGAATTCTGAACACCGTCTGAATCTATAAATAAACATTCCCTCTGGGCTTTCAAGGTTTTCTATTATTTTCTTCTTCTTTTCTTTTACGTGAAAAAGACATGTTTGTATGAGGATATTACTTGTGTGGAAGTTCTGACTTAATCTTTTCCTCATTTCCCTGCCGGTGCTCCTCATGCACGCTTCATTATCGGTCTGTGGGTATGCGACGTTGAGCCACGGCACTGGCTTTGTGTTTACTTATTGTCAAAACAATGAGTGTAATCCTGCTTGAGTGAAATCTCGTTCACCCACTGCCCCCCCCCCCCCCCCCCAATTTCGTGGCAATGAGATAATTAGTCCCATGTCTCATCTGCATCTGAGCAGGAAAGCCTCTCTGCCCCTCCCCTCTCAGACTGGCACTGGGCCCTGGGCAGTTTGGACACCACTGCTGCCCCATTATCTGTCTGCATCCTAATCAGGCTGCTTCAGCTGGCGCACGCAGTATACCGATCACACATCTAACTGCGTTATGATCCACTGTAGGAGCTGTGCTTTGGCCTCGTCCATCGTACACGTAGAAAAAGGTTCTCTCTGTTGCTCCTCCTCACTTTTTCTTTATCGGAATCAAGGGTGTGAACCCCACGTTTATGATTTTGGGCTAAATAGATAATACTTACTTCATATGTTTATATAGATACACAGCAGACCTGGATTTAAAGCAGTTAAACTTTAGTATATGAGCACTTTGGGATGACTTCTGTTTTAACTGTCCAACACACTGACTACAATATTGACAGATGCATTTTATGACCATGAAATGGATAAAAAATGCATTACATGACATGTTGTATAAGTTGTTTTCTTCAAGCCATTTTCTTGTTCCAGCCTTCCAGTTGTGATATTTTGCTGCTATAAATCAATGATGAAGTGCAGTATTTCCTCTTTCCTTTCCTTGGACCCTTTGCATGTAGAGCTGATACTTCAGCTTTTAGCCGGGTGCTTGAGCGACAAAATATCATCATTCACTCACTGATGACCTGGAAGACGTTAACACACATCAGCCAGGTTTAAGGTTCATCAGGGTCCTTAGAGAATGAACCATATATATCTTTCACAAAAATGCTGATGTTTCTGTGGCCCCGCCCTCTGACAGCGCTGCACCTCTAACACCGATCTCTCTCTCGTTGGTTCACAGAGGCGGCGCTGCACAGCCTGCTGAGAGCCCTGACCAGCGAGACTTACGACGACCCCACTCAGCACCTGGAGCGGGAGCAGGCGCTGGCCAAGCAGTTCGCGGAGATCCTGCACTTCACACTGCGCTTTGATGAGCTTAAAGTACGACCATCTCTCTCTCAGACATATCCCAAGTCTCTCATTCTCCTATTTAAACCCCAAACTCACCTTTTAGATGTTGATATGAACTCTGTACTTTTCTCCTGTGATACAAACCAGACCTCTTAGTCGGACTGCAAGCTGCTGATGCCCTCGAAATTAATTTTTGCTCTGCAATTTTAAACTGCAGCCAGTGAGCGAGTGATTAGCATTTAATTAGAATGCTAATACTGCTCTGCTGTTTATAATACGGTGGACGTCAGTGAAATGGCTAATAAGGCTTATAGCAGGGAAAGTGGTCTGCGAATCGTTGTTGTCCTGAGTCGAGTTCTGCATAATGTAGCAGGTTTCTTAGAAATGCTGGAGGGAGGGAACCTGAAGAACCCCGAAAACACCAGGAATGAAGCGCGGGTGACGGTCGAATGCCCATTGTCAAAAACATAATTGTGTGAGCACTCATCTGGTTAGACAGTGGCTGAACTGGTTCCCTTTCACCCTCGCTCTTCAGATAGAAAAACTTAAAAAAAACACGCCCCGACACCCCCAGGCGATTTGCTCCGACGTCCCAATTAGTGCCCACTACTCAGGCTGGCAAGATAAAAACATGAAGGTAGGGGGTGCAAGGTGGCATGCCAGGCCTATTCATCAATCTTTCACACCCATACACGGGCTTCTGACCTAGTTAAAGTGTCTGTGCGGCGTGCGGCCCCTCCCTGACGAAGAAGCCTGTCTCTCCCGGTGCACACAGTGGACACAGACTGGTACTCAGTCTATTGTAGCGGGATTAGCCTGCTGCCAGTGCAGCTTTGAATGTGACAGGCTCATACAGGAATGAGGATAATTAACCACATGATGAGCTCTCACTGGTGGTGACGTGTGAAAGAAGCTCTCTGGTTGGCCGGCTTCTGTTCGAGGGCCAGTTTGGCTTGGCGGTGAAACCAGAGCATTCATATTTTTGTAGTTAACTGACTCCTGTAATTTTCCTCTGAGGCTGTAACTTTAAATAACGTCAGATAGCAGGCCTACATTCGTCCCCTCCGTAATGAGACCATGTATACCTTTTTGTCAGCTTCATAATTGTTGACCCGCTTGTCACAAACTATAAGGATGCACAGCCCGACTGCAGCAGCAAAATAACCAAATTGTTCCTGATAGGATGAGTGGGGATGTGGATGTAAAAGGGGGATGAGTGTCGGAGGATTCAAATCCAGTTCAGCAAATAAAACTGTAATTGTATCCGTGTCCCTTTCATGGGATTTTTTTGTTTTTTTTTCCCCTAAAGCTACGTTTCTGCCTTGTTGGCTAAAGCATTCTGTCACAGCGATGGAAGTGTTTGATCCAGAAGTGAATGTCCTGCTGCAGTCGGTGCCACCCACAGACATGGAGAGAAACTCCGTCTCTCTATTAAGATGCTTTTCTGTTTTGTCTGTTTTATTGCAGATGACAAATCCTGCCATTCAGAATGACTTCAGCTACTATAGGAGAACTCTGAGCCGAATGCGGATCAACAACGTACCGGTGAGCGCATTACGTCCTCATCTCTGGGAGACTATAATCGATGTTTGTGTAACAACGGATCATTGGATTGACTACTTGCATGTGACAGGAGTTGCTTTTAGCGATAAACCTACAAATTGACAGAATTATCACCCAACTTTCATCATTTCTACGTCTCTCTGCAGTTGATCAATGTGCAGTATGTTTGCAAAGGAACACGGCTAAATGTGATAAACAGCGGTTGCATTTATGTCGGCTATCATTAGATTCCGCAGAGATGACTGAGTTTATTTTAATAGAATAATGTATAATAAATAGTGCATTTCAGTGTTCAAGCAGTCTGTTATTTCGTATTCCTTTTAATGTTTCCATGTCCTGATCCAATGCATAAATGTGCGTCATCGTGAGTCGTCTGTACTCAGGCCTGGTATTGATTGAAGCCATCGGTTCTCATTAGAATCCCAGCTCGGTTCAGAATGCAGGAGTGATGAAGGAAGTTTGCAGACTGTTAGAGCCCCCAGGAGTGAGGCAGGGAGCGTCTCGCAACAGGAAGTCGGAGCCCCGCGGGGAGTTTGAAGCACAAAGTGTTGGGCAGCGGCGCGTGGCGCCAGTAACTGATCCCAAATCAGTGGCGTGGCCCAAACCCTCTAGAGATGAAACGCCTAACTCCAGGTCAATACAGTAGATGAAACCCAAGACAATAAAACCCCTAACAGTCCTCGGTGTTTCAGATTCATGCATTCAAATTGAGAATGTTGTTACTACCAATGCATGTAGCGCTGGTAATGCAAGATGACATCACCAAAGCCGTCAGTGAGTTCATGTTTATAGCTCGACATCTATAAGGTCTGACCTAAAAGGCAAATTAACAGCCCCCTCAGTTAATGTATTATTTGTGTTTTTAAGTGCCATAAAACTGAAGCAGCTCACTCGATACTATTTAAGTGTTGTTCCCTGTATTTATTACTGACAATAGCTTTCATATGAAATTCAAGGACACAGCCACTCTCCTCGTGCATGCTGCACTTCAGAAATACCTCTTCATTCAGCAGCTCCAGAGACATTTGAAAGGTACTTTAATGCAGGAATCGGTGAGATTTCAGTGTTTCTGTCTGTGCCGAATGAACGGCTCTTAGTTTTGACCGTCTGACGGGAGGTTTCGTTCTCCAAACCAGAGTGTGCCATTAGGCAAATGGGCCCAGACGAGTCGTCGTTAGGACCCGTCACTGCTGAGAGAGGCTCAGGCTGCCGTCCTCTCCTCACACAGTCGCCGCTCAGACGACTGAATCGTTCAGACATCTGAGATGAAACGCATCTGTCCCCGCGGTAACAGTCTTTGCGTTCGCATGTCATCATTTGTTGAAACATAAATTGGTTTGAAATTTTTGGGGGGGATTATTCACATTCTGTCAGTGTTCTCACGGAGAGAAAAAAAAAAGTCAGGAAATTATCTTATTATTTAAATATGCAGACAAATTTAGAACGGGCTGTTCAAGAGACACCTTGTTCTTTGTAACCTGCCAGGTGTTTTCAATGTCTCGCTCCTCTGAAACTATAAAGCAGCAGGATCTGTTAGTCAGCTGGGAAACCAGGAGGAGCAGCAGCAGCAGGCCTCGCTGATGCAGTTTATGTCAGTGTTTCTCAGTTATGATTTTATTTAATTAAATTCCTTTTAATGTGCGATCTATCGGAGCTGCATGACGACGACGAGCGGGACGCCAGACAAAACAGCCAATATTTCCAGATGTTTCATGCTTCCTTAAGAGGTTTCAAATAAGATTAGCTCATTATGTATTTTAATAATGAAACAACAGACTGTGAGAAGCCTGGTTTCTATATATCTGTACAGATTGATCAAGGGCCCACTTTCACTACAGTAGTTGTTGTAAATAAATCTAATGCCAATTCCCTCTTATGCTTCTCACAAAGCCTGTCCTTCAGCTCATCAGGATGGATGTTTTAATGGCGTTTTTTCACGTGTGTATTTGGAGTCGGACACAAGAGTCCTCTGACGTCTCTGTTCTGTAGCTGACCCTGACCTTTGACCTGAGGAGATGCAAGAAAGAAAGGAGTTTGACTGTAATTGTCTTTTTAATGATTTTCAGGCGGAGGGTGAGAATGAAGTCAACAATGAACTGGCCAATCGGATATCTCTGTTCTACGCAGACGCCACGCCCATGCTGAAGGCATTAAGTGACGGCACAACAAAGTTTGTATCAGAGGTGAGACTCACGGCAGGAAGCAGTGAACACTTTGAACAGATATGTGAAAGTATCCTCTCATTTCTTTTTCTGTCTTTCTTCTTTTTTTTACAGAACAAGAACCTGCCCATCGAGAACACAACAGTCTGCTTAAGCACGATGGCGAGTGTGTGTAAAGTGATGTTGGAAACGCCGTAAGTGACTCACTGCATCGCTAAGAGCTGCTGCAGTTCTCCTTCTTTACGTTCTTGTGTTAAGTCCTGCGTTGTGTCCTTTCAGAGAGTACCGCAGCCGGTTCGCCAGTGAGGAGACGGTGTCTTTCTGCCTCCGGGTGATGGTCGGGGTCATCATCCTGTACGACTACGTCCATCCTGTGGGTGCTTTTGCAAAGTCGTCCAAAATCGACGTGAGTACAGTCATGTTCAGTGAAGACGTATTCAAAACCGTATTTAAGTAAAAGTATGTACATATCAGCAAAATGTACTTGAAAGTATGAAAAGTAAAAGTACTCATTGTGCAGTAAAATGTTCCCTCTCTGTTTTATTATCATATATATGATGTTTGTGGATTAATGTTGGTACTGCATTCATGTGTTGCATTTTACTGCTGTAGATGTTTACGGTTGTGCTAATTATAAACTCCTTTATGTTCTGTTGGGTAGTTTAATCGGTGCATTTTATTCTATAAGAGCATTATTTGTTTGTAGCGTCTTCCTCTAAAAAGTAAAATAGTGCTCACGTACAAATCTGTGCTTTCATGTTAGTGAAAGAGGCCAATTGGGTTCAGAAAAACAGCTGATCCAAGAGGGCTTTTAAACACTTTATTTAGCTTTAGAAGAACATTCTGATTCATAATTATCATTTATAAGTGTTAACTGGACACGAAGGGTATGACAAATTGTAATCTAGAAAGTACCTACAATTTAGTTAAGCAGAAAGAACTATTTGCAGTTGATGTAGTGGAATAGAAGTATAAAATGGAAATGCTCAAGTAAAGAACAAGTCCCTCAGATTTGTACTTTAGTACAGTACTGGAGTACATTTACCACCACTGGCCACCACATGTTGGCTCCACTATACCACTCCTCCGCTCGCTATATAAAGCTAACTGCGTGTTTCTTCCTCCGCAGATGAAAGGCTGCATCAAAGTCCTCAAAGATCAGCCTCCGAACAGCGTGGAAGGCCTTCTCAACGCTCTCAGGTGAGCTCATGTTGAAGTCAGCGCAGCATGTAATGTGATTGTAGCAAGCAGGCTGCTCATGCTGCGAGTCGAATGATATCGGTGCCTGTTCATGAGCAGCAGACAGACCTCTCGGTTTATTTCCCTCCCCCGGCCGTCGGCACAGTCAGTGACTCATTCTCTACACGGTCCAGCCGGGATTCAGTCAGCTGTGAGCGCTCTGTGCCAGATCCGGGTTGGGTGTCGAAGCCTCTCCAGAAAGACCAACTACATCTGACGCCTCGTGCCCCCCCTTTACAGTCTCCCAAATATCCCCCCTCCCCCGTCTCGCCTAACGCTCACAGCTGCTGGAGATGACGGGGTCGTTTCTGCGGTGACCTCACATCTCTGTGTTTCGGGGGCCCGCCGGCGTTACCCGGTCGCATGAAGTCACTCGCATGCAGAAGTGGCCAGATTTCATCTCTGATCTGACAGAGGATGACAACATGTTGTAGATGTACGCAGCGCTGGAAAGTAATTAAGTAAATTTATTCAAGTTCTCTACTTGAATAAATATAACTTACTCATGTATCTTTTAATGATACCTTATACTTCTTATGAAAGTGGAATATTGTACTTTTTACACCACTACAGCTGTAGTTACCCGTTACTTTTCAGACTAAGATTTTACATAAAATAAATATAAGATCATAAAATACTTGGTTATAGATCGGCTATACAACAATTTAGAAACATCGTGTCAGTGTGGAAACAGTTTCCAAAGAAAAACTCAAAAATGGTGCCTTTTGCTCTATAATCATGTGACAAGACGTTACAGTAGACTGTGGCTGGTTTAGCCGCAGAATCTGTAAAGATTGACAAGATGAGCACATCTGCAAGACGAGCGAGCGGTCATGCCTTTCAAACCTAATAGTGTCAGTAACGAGTGCCCCGTCATAATAGCTCGCACTGAAGCCAGTCAGAAATATATTATGCAACTGGGGATAATCATTTTTTGAAATGGGTCCAGTATTGAAGGAGAGCGCTGCAGACTGCAGCCGCTAAACATGCTGCGATGTCATCGCTCGGAGCAATTCTTCATCGTCGATGTCCAATAGTGCTTGTTTTTGCCACAGACGCGCTCAGATTGTTATTATAAATGTCTGACAACACCCTAAAGAGAAATAAGCATTTCTCTTACTTTTGCCTTGATCCGGTCTGTTTGTTATTGCGTCCAAGTCCAGTTCAAACAGAAGTCTCCTTCTGAAATCCCGCGTCACATCCTCGTTGTTGAAAGCAACACTTCCTGTAGTCCAAAACAACAATCTATGACAAAACCCGGCGCTCCGCTCTCCTCTCGTTGTCTTCCTGCAACAAGTCACGTGACACAAACGGACCGCATCGAGCGAAAGGTAAAGAAAGATGTTTTATTTCTCTGTAGGGTTCTTTCCATAATGTTTTCAACATCTGTATCCTTCGTCCACCTCTGGATGAGATCCGGTCACTATTGTGTTTTTGTTTTTTCTCGCCTGCAGGTACACAACCAAGCATCTGAATGATGAATCAACCAACAAGACTATCAAGAGCATGCTGCAGTAGACTGAGCTGCTGCAACTGCTTGCCTCACACCCTGCTGGGGGGGAGACGCCACTCTCCTGACTGATGTCGGTGCACAGAATGTTTTTGTTGCTTTTCTTTTAGTTGATAATGGAAAAAAAGAGCTACAGCTCCGCCCTCTTTTTATAATGCAAAATGCTACTGCCATTAAGAACGTCTTTTTCTGTGCCAAAAAGATGTTGCTGGGATGTAATGTTTTCGATGAAAGGCCATGCGACAATGGCAGCTAATGAAAGCATCGCTGTGTTTTTAAACTTGTTTTTCCCTCTATAAGGGACGGGAGTGCTTTGACTTGAAAATTTAAACGAGAGAGATATATAGAGAAGTATATATTATTTTTGTTTGATTCGTTATTTAATATTACATCCTCTGCATGATAAAAATTATGTATTTTCCTTCTATTTAAAGAAACTAATGGTTCAGTTTGATTTGTCTGCTCTGTTGTGCATTATTACATGTTTTGTTATTGAAATGGTACCCGTCAAAACGAGATTTAAGAGTACTGGTTTTATATTTTTTATAGGTTTTAATTTGTGCATATGTCTTTTTTTTTTTTTTTTTTTCATAGCTGTGTCATATTTTTCATTTGAAAACTTTAAACTGTGATGTGTGCAAAATCAAATTACAATTGGGAGTGTGTACTGTAAATGGACAGTATGTTATGGCTGGAGAAATTAAAAGGAGAACTCTTGTTTTCTACAACCCGTCTTGTCAGGTTTGATCTCTTATCTCATATTGTCGTCTGCGAGTAGCTGAGAGGAAGTGTTTTTTTTTTTTTTTTTTTTTTTCTCGTGAAAAGCAGTGAAATACAGTTTCTCATGCTCAACCGCTAGACAGGAGTGAGGAAAGATGTTTTAGATCTCACAGCTTGATGAAATGTACACAACGACACACGGTGGCAGTTCACTTTCTTTGAAATTACCTCGTATACTAGGAACAGTTTGACTATATGCATCTTCCTTAATTAAGCTCGTACTCGGCAGAGAGACGCCATAGTTTAGCAATTAAAGAGACGGATATTTCCCTCAGGAGTTGGTTGAGACCAAAAACATGGTTCATAAAGCCGGGCTAGCGTTTCCAGTCTTTATGCTAAGCTAAGCTAACCGTCTGCTGGCTCTGGGTTAATATTTACTGCACAAACATGAAAGCGGTATCAATCCAACACTCTGTAAGGAGGCGATTGATTAAGTGTATTTCTCAACATGTAGAAGGATTCTATTGAGCACTAATCGGTCAATAAGATAGATTAGTATCATGACGGATAAATTGAAAACAGGATTGGTTTTGTTTTTCTTTTAGATTAAGAAAAATCCATTGAAGGATTTGTTGCTGATACATATTTCCTGAATGTGTTATACTTTTCTCACCACTGTGTCTACTAGTTGAAGGCTCCTTAAGAAACAGCTGCATGAGGTCTGACACGTGGTCCTGTTTCTTTCATCAAAAGAGCTTTCTAATCTATTATCCTATTCTTTTCTTTTACTCTCTTCCTTAGTAAGACAAAACAGAAATATCCTTTCACTTCTTTTTCAGTCCACTAACCTCTCTGTTTTTTTTTTTTCCTCCTGCTTTCAGTAGTGCTTTAGAGGGAGAAGGGGGCTACTCTTGGGTGGGCACTGCAGCACTATCAGCAATGCGTTGGAGAACTCAGGGTCAAAGACAGAGAGGCAGCAGAGTGTGGATGGGTGTGTCCTCTGCAGCATCACTGCACTGACATGGGAAAGGAAGGAGACGGGAGGGAGGGAGGAAATAAAGTGGTTTAATCTTGGGTGGGTTTTAAAGTCCTTGAGGGAAAGAGTGGTAAAATATGAGAAAGTGCTGCCTCCTTAGCTTGTGTTGCAGTTCTTTTTTTAATCAATGAATGCAGCTTAAATGTGGTTGTAGGTGATGCAACACTCACAGAAAATAGTCAGCGTGACAACTTGTCAGTGGGCAGCGGTAATCTTGTTCTGATCTCGCACCATGACCCTCGATGCAGAAGCTCTGTCATGCAGCATCATCAGCCGCTGCAGGCTGAGGCGGCAGCTCTGATATCCGGATGAATGAAACCTTTCTCAGGGAGGGCTGTTGTGTTGAATCTAACATCAAGTCAACCTTTCCTCTGCGGTGTTTCGATTCGCCACACCTAAAGATTTTACTGTTTGGAGGCGTGTCTGCAGACAAAAAGCTCTTAAAAACATTGTGATCAAAGTCAGAAAGTGCACCAACCTCCACTTTACACCGAGATGGTGTAACGGATCAATACTGAAAGATCCAGAGAGGTGGATTAACATCTGTGAATATCGTGAACAAAATTCATTTTACTCTCTACTGTCCTTTATATCATGATTATCTAATTTACATTCACGTCCAATGCTGTTCATATTTGTATGATATTAATAGGTTGTGCTGTTAGATGCTGGTAGGGATGCATAATGTGAAGAAGGTGGACACTGCACATCCGACCCCATTAAGGTGCAGATGTAGGACAAAAACAGCATACAGAAGCAGATAAAAGAGAGGGGCACAAGCAAAAAAAATCATGAAATAATTAACAAAGAAGCTGATGGACTCGCTGTTCTTGATATTAATTTGGATTTATTTGTGGTAAGAGAGAGACAGCCAGTCATTTTATTCTACTTAAAGTTGAATAAGCTGTTTTTGACAGAGTTATTTATCTCATTCAATGCAGATACATGACATTTATTTTAACATGTTCAATTTATTCCCAAACCACACATTAAACGTTCTGCAATAAGCCTTTTTGTATTTCTGTTCCCTTTTGGCACCTGGATTTCTGCACAAATTGAGCATAGTTAAAATGTGTTTTTTAATTTTTCCGCATTGACCCATTAGGGAAGCTGATTCTTAAAAGGCTACCGTGTGTTCCTGTGCATATTATTCATGGCACGTTCATCCTCATTAAACCATTCAGTGACCCCTCGTGCTCTATATGGAAGCATTTGGATTTGTTATGTCGCTCCACTCAGGTTTTCCCTTAATTTGACACCTGTCTGCGTGTATATATTTGATTCAGCATCAGTAGAAAACAAGGCAATGCTGGATCATTTCTCTTATGCTTCCCCAAGCAAACGGTCCACTGTAACCTCCAGGCACGGGCCCCTAACAGAGGAACATAACAGCCGTATGAGGACATCGAGGTGTCGCAGGAAGTAAATTATCACGTTGGTAACACCTCGCAAATAATATCTCTCTCTCATGACCCTGATTGATCCGATGGCGTTAGGGCAGATGTCACCGCTCGGGCAGAAAGAAGCTGATGTGTGAACGTCTACAGTATTTCAGGGTGTGACATAAAGACTGAAAGAAATTGAAGAGATGGAAATGGTTTGACATTTATTTATTTATTTATTTCGTAGGACAAATCTGCCTCCTTTAACATAAGGGCTTTTTTTTAAACACACCGAGTTTGACTGATGTGTTGACAGTTTGACATTTGGACTATTACAGTATGTGCCACAGTGAACTCTGGCATAACTGTCGGTTATTTCTGAGTAAAGAGTTTCTTCTTTTATTCCAGGGAAAACCCCCAGCAGCCTGAGAACTGTGTTCTGTCCATAAACCACAAGGCCCTAACACATTGCTCATCTGTCTCTTGGGTGAGACAAGTTCACTTTTCTGAGAAAGACAACGGCTATCCTCTGAGACCACCCTGCCACCCTCTCAACCACCCCTCCGCACACAAACACACTGTCACAGATGTAGACCCCCCCTAGAAATCCCACTTCCTTCTGCACGTTGCTTTAATCGGGGGAGTCTTAGTTAATCAGTCGTGTCAAAACATTAACGGCTCATTGAGGATCACTTTTCATGCCAGCAAAACTGAACCCAAGAGTGCTGTAATCTCTGTCAGTTGGGCAGATAGCATTATTTTTTTGGGGGGGCAAAGCATCGCTGCTTAATCAGGAACTAAGAGTCGGTGAAAGTATTGCTACACATCAGCGAGAGGGCACGAGTTCCTCTAAAATACTGTCAAAGAAAGTGTTACAGTTTTACACCAAGAATAATGTGCTTTTTTGTTTTAGTGAACTTCTGCTCATGAACATCCTGTAACACATTGAAAAATAGCCAAATCTATATTGAGATTTAGAGTTCAGACAGACACATGAGGAGGACAGACTAACTCTGTCACATTAAGGGACATTCAGGTTTAAAGTTTGTTGATACTAAAATAAACCAAAATAAGACTTTCCCTTTATTTTACTTTTGCAAATTACTGCTGAAAATCATTCACATTAAGGTAGTAAATGAGTCGATTAATAGATTAGTCAACCAACGGGGAATTAATCTGGAATTATTTCTGTATTTTTTTATACCATACTACAAACATATTACATACATTTTTCATGACGACTACACTATGACTTTTTTTGGTATTTTTTAAGATATACTATACTTTGACATTTTAATGAGATTTTTTTATGGCAAGTGGTATGCTCACTTGGGTTTGAGATCATGTGACTGACTTGGCCATTGAAGAATATTCCTTTGCCTTGAGAAGCTCTTGGGTTGTGTTCACAGTATGTTTTAGGTCGTTATCCATCTGCAGTGTGAAGCGCCGTCCAATCAGTTTTGTAGCATTAGGCTGAATCTTAGCAGATAGTTTAGCCTTAAACATCTCAGAACTCATCCTGCTGCTTCTATCAGCTGTGACATCACCAATGAACACCAGTGACCCGGTTCCATTGGCAGCCGTACATGCCCATGTCATAGCACTGCCTCCACCATGTTAGACAGATGTTGTAATTCGGATCATGAGCCGTTCTTTTCCTTCTTTTCACACCTTTCTCTTCCCATCACTCTGGTACAAGTTAATCTTGGTTTCATCTGTCCAAAGAATCTTTTTCCCAAACTGGTCAGGTTTTTTCAGATGTTTTCTGTTAAAGTCTAATCGGGCCTTCCTGTTCTTCAC